GGGCCAAATTTGAGGGATTGTTCAGAGAATCACCAGATAATTGGTCTAAGCATCATGAAACATTCATTATTTGACCATAATTACGAAATATAAAGAATCAAAAAGGAATTTAATTTTTCAACTAAGAGTGTACAAGATATCTTATGTTGGGTGCTGGTGTGATAAAAGGATGAATAAGCTATAGTGATGACATTTATATTGTCTTTGGAAAAAGAAGACTAATATGGTACATATGAAACAAGTAGCCTATTGTGTTAGGCAGCAGGTAATTAAGTGCTAAAGTTATGTGATCCAGAATAGGCACTATCGGTACATACAGAAAGACTGCTCAAGGTGAGTTATTGTGGTCAGGGAGGTTATTTTATGGAGGAGATGAGCTATACAGGATGGTTTGGATTTGGTTAAACTTTCAAAGTGAGGAAATTGGGGCAATTATGGTATTGTGTTTAAAAATTAAATTATGTTCATCAAAAATAATTTTTATTTTAAACATTGTTGTTACATTTTTCCTAAAATGTATTTAATACACGAGCATCTGAAATTGTTATCTATATTTTGGAGTATTTCAAAATTAAACAGAAAAAAATGTAAATGTATTTATACATTTTTTCTTAGAAAATAAAATCATTGGGCATTTAATAGTTTTATTTATTCAGTCACTAAATATTTATTGAGTACCTACTGTGAGCTAGCTAAGGTTCTAAGTGATGAGCAAAATAGTTATGCCTCACTGATGATTAAGATCTTAGCTGGGGAGGTCAATAATGAACAAATAAAAATGCTTAAAAAGAAAAAAAAGAACAGATACAAAATCTACATAGGTAGGGTGGTCAGGGAGGGCTTCTCTGAAAGGCCAATGTTCAGTTGAGACTTAAAAAATAAGAGAAGCCAGACTTGCCAAGTGGGGAGCAGAGTTTTAGGCGCACTCCCAGGCTGAGTTTGGTTTACCCAGGGGTATCAGGCAGGGTTCTCCAAAAATAGAACCAGTAGGATACAAATCTATCAATCAATCAATCTATCTATCTATCTATCTATCTATCTATCTATCTATTAGCTATCAATCTATCTCCTACTTTATTTAAAAAAAAATTTTTTTTTTAAAGATTTTGTTGGGGAACTGGAGGAGGGGAACAACGTTGGGGAATTGGGGGAAGGGGAACAGACAAGTTGCTGTTGTTTTGTTCTTCAGTCTAGTTGTGGAGAACGTTGCTTCACTGGCCCAAGTTG